AGGCTCGACGTGCTAGGCCTGCCGAGTTTGAAAAAACCCAAAGTACCTGGGCATAGGGATCTATCGAAAAGATTTTAATGGGTTAGCTCCAAATAAGAGCCAAGGGACTGCGTGGCCCTTGCATGTGATTAATAGCCTTTATAGACAATGTTAAAACATCATGTTATTTCATCACATGGCATATATATAGATAGTCGTTTTAAGATTTGCCAATGAGGATGAAGCGTGTACATGTGCGAGATATTACCCCTATGCACTATAGAGTCATGGTTGCATCATGATCTGGAGGACCATGATTTTTTTGTCTCTAGGGGAGAACCTGAAATCTATAAACTAGGATTGCGTCTCCTAGTCTATTCGCTGACTTTGGTGGTCCAATCATGAGCTGTTGGTCATGGGAACTGTTGGGTCAGTTTGAAAAAGCTAGGTGGATCGTGGTCTGCAATTGAAGGTGAAGTACTCTCATATATTAATAAATTATTAGATCTAACGGATCCGATTCCCATCAAAAATTAATTAGTTTTAATTAATTTTATGATATATGCTTTTTTCGAATGTTTATTTGAATTTTTGTTAATCTTCTGATATTTTATTTTTGTCATTTGGATTTATAAATTAAGAAAAATTAATTTTTCAATGTTTTAAATAAAATATACGATTTACAAATTCTAAATATGAAATAAAATAGTTTCTAAAATATATTGGACCTCCATAAAATATATGGGGCAATAAATTTAAAAACATGTCGATTAGGTGGGCCACACGCGGCCACCAAAAGTGTGGCACGCCCCACCGTTCACATATTCTTCTTAGGAAGAATGTTTATTCCTTGTTTGTTGGCTTATCTTTTGGGGATAGCCAATTTAGTTCAATATTTGAAGTATTTAATAAATCTTTGAATCAAGATTGCTTGATCCAATAAATAAAGATCACATATACTAAAATAGAAAATAAGATATATATTTTCTTTATTTAAAGATTTGATGGGAATAGACGCAGTAAATGGATGATAAAACTCTAGCTCATCTCTTTGAATCTTGATGGTGGATCAAACAGATAGATGACTCAAATCTCTCACCCCACAAGTCTCTTTAGATCGATGGTCAAGATTTAACCTTACGAATTGAAGCAAACCCAAAGATATAAAAAATCTATAAAATGAGGTCTCTCCCTCCATAAAATGAAGTACATATTATCTCCTCTCTCTTTAAGAATTCTCTCTCTACAAAAATTTAGTTATCTCTCTGGATTACCAAAGGGGAAGCATACCCCAATTTTGAGGCATGCCCCAAGTTTTTTTTTCTATCTTTCTCAAGTTTATTGGGGCACACCCCAAGTTTTATCTTCTATCTCTCTCAAGTTTTTTCTAATAGGGTACCCCAAATCATCTTTCTCTCATTGTTTCTAGACGGCACACCGAAGCTAAGGTTAGGTTGTGGTGGTTTGATTTTTGGGTAGCAAAGGGAAGTATCCGCTTGCTAGTAGATCTCACCATCTCTCTTTGATCTATCTCTCATTTCTCAAAAGATCAAGTTAATGGGGTATGAGTAAAACTAAGGCATTGAAGCCTTACGTAGTTGATTCTAGATCGAGATCTATATGCCATTGAGAGGGTTTTGCCATATGAAAGAGAATCAAGTAATCGATCATAGATCTCGAGAACCATCGAAAGAAGAGACTCAGTGTGGGATGTACTAAGCCCGGTTGAAGTAATCTCCAACGTTCTCTTTTTGTTTGTTAAGAATTGTAAATATTTTCTTTGTTAGTTTTATTTTCTTTGAAGCAAGAGTTATTGTAATAAGACTACTTGTAAGTGATATTTGCCAAAAGAAAAGAAAATGAAAAAAAAAAGGGTAAAAAGAAAAAAAATAAAATAATATATATTAATCTTTCTTTCAGCACCCTCTATCACAACTTATGTAAGAGATGATCCACTTAGCATTTTATTCATTATTTTGATGAATATCAAAAGTCATTCAAAAGTTGGTATAGTTGAAACTTGAAAATGGGTAGAATGTTAAACAATTAATAAGTGACATGTGTATTGGTAAATTTCCTTTTCATGCATATCTGTCAAAATGTACTAGTGTACTATTTTACAAATATATGAATTTCTATAGGCTGCACAAAATTAAATTAACATTATAAAGATGTAAATGATGTTACTGCCAAAATTTATCGGCATATTCTTCAGTCCAAACTATCCTCCTTTACCTTGCCTCTCTAGAGCAATAAAGCTCTAAAACTCAAAAAATATATATCTTTCCATGTGTTGGTAATTTGTTTCCTATTGCACTATTTCTTTTATTTTTTTATTTTTTTTGGTAGTCCAGGAGGAAAGGATTTTCTACCCCTAGTAGGAATGAAATTCAAAATATCAAAATATCGTGTGGCAACCTGACCACATGCAATCACAACCATCTATTATTGAAATTTATCGCTTCTCCACTCATATTGACAAGCTTGAGAACGTGAAAATATTTTTCTAAACCATTTTCATCTTTGAAATTAATATTGCTTATATATTACTAATAGCGGAATTTAGTGAGAGCATAACCTACATCTAGACTTAAATAGGATAAAAATAGTTTTTTTTTTTTAACGGATAAAAATAGTTTTTTAAAAGCTAGATTCGTGAGTCAAACGAGTCACCCACATGTTAAAAGCTAGATCCGTGGGAACCGAGTAAAATAAGGATTTTTTAACTTTAACTAGTACAGCGGGCTCGAGCAGTTCTAATCGAGCTCAACAATTTTTAAATAGCAAAAAAATTGTGCATAGAAGAAAGACAAACATTTTCCCCTTTCCAAGCATTGTACTAGAAGAAACGTATGCAATACAAACATTTATTTTTAATACAAGGAGGTTACAATCATTGTTCGTTATGGGATAAGAAATTGGGCAGCTGAGGTTGTACTATTAATTGGGCTTAAACCCAAAAGATATTTTACTAAAGTTTGTGGGACGCTCTAGCTATCGGATTTCTCATCTGGCGGTAGGACTTAAACCCAAACAAAAAAAAAGTTTGAACTTTATAACACGTTTCACATCGGACTTCTCATCTAATAGTTAGGAATAATTGTGACCTCCGAAAATGAAAGGTAGATGATCTAATAGTGTCCAATCCCCCTTATTTAAAGCCTCATCTTAACGATATCGAACAAACAGTCACAAAAAGAACAAATAAATTGCATTTTAAGCTTTTTTATATGGAAAAAGTTTATCTAAGGTTGCAAACTTAAAATGTAGGATTGAAGGTGCACCACAAAAATCCATGGTTATTTTGATGTTGGAAACCCTTTAATGATCATCTCGACAAGATATATGAATATGAAAAGAAAAAAAGAATTCGAGTCCAAGAAATAATGTATCTTGCAATACATTATCTAAATTGTCCATTTTCAAGATTTTCATGTTTATAGATCAACTTGATTTGAATTATTTTTAGAGTTTAAAATAGATTATCAAACCGAATTTTTTATACTAAAACTATATTTATGATAAAATTTAGAGGTGCACCGTAAGGGACCGTTTAGGTACCTGGAAATCTATTACATGACAATACATTATAATGAAATATGGCATTTCCATTGTTTCTTTACAATTCACAAGGAAATATGGCATTTCCATTGTTTCTTTACAATTCACAAAGGAAATATGGCCTTTCCGTTTTTTCCTTACACTTAATTGAAATGGAAAGATATTAGGCTAGATTTCCCCAAGAATCATTATTTCCTTACACTTAATTGTAAGAAAATGGAAAGAGATTAACGCCCGGTGATCTCTAAAATCATTGTTTCCTTGCACTATAATTAGGTGATCCCTCCCTTTTTAAGCTAGTCCCTTATTTAAAGACATCAACTGTCATATAAAATAAAAAATAATAAAAATAAAAATAAAAATCAATAATCAATGAGAAATTACACAACATAATCGTAATAAAAAATTTCACACAACATAATGTGATCTCTCCCTTTTTAAGCTCGTCCCCTCATCCGAAAGCATCAGTGTTATATAAAAACAAAAATAATAAAAATAAAAATCAGTAATCAATGATAAATTACACAACACAATCATAATAAAAAATTTCATACAACATAATCTTCATAAGAGATTACTAAAATCTCAATTGAAATAACATACATCTTTAGTCTCCTCCAATACCTCAAAATTTTATACTGCAATTACCAAACCTTTTAGTTTACTAATCAAACTTCTTCCCATTTTTTAACTCGTATCCCACATATTTTGAATTTAGTATCATAAATTTATTGTTCCCATTTTTTAACTTGTATCCCACATATTTTGAATTTAGTATCATAAATTTATTGTTTATTTGATTATATAGAGAGACATTTGAAAGACTTCTATATAAAATAAAAAAAATAAGGCTTATCATAAAAATAAAATCATGTTATTCCAATCATATTGTTCCAATGACTTATCATGTTGAAACCAATGCCATGTTAGAAAATATGTGAGTGCATATAAGTGCCAAAGGCACTTAAAATAAGTAGGATATAGTGTCATGACTGTAAAGTGGTACAAGTTATTATTAGAAAAAAAAATTTGAATGGTGATAATGTTATTTTTAGAAATCTTTTTGGAATGGTGTGATGATGATTTTAATTCAGTATTTTAATAAAATTTTGTGACAAAAAAGAAGGAAATGATAATTATGTACTTTAGTAGAATTTTGTGATAAAAAAGAAAGAAATGATAGTTTATAAGCATGTGCTGGTAAACTGTTGGTAATATATTTTCTATATTTTTTTCCAGAGATAGTCAAACAACAACAATATATTTTTCAAGTTGTATCTAAATACTACCCCAGTAACAATCCATTTACGGATAATGTATTATGCAGTAATGCATTAACCAAGTACCATATTTCACACACAATATATTTCGAAGTATCTAAACGATTAAGGTTGCAATCTTTTTGAAACCCCACACCCCTCTTGTAATATTTGAGCCATTTCCAATGGGTTTTAAGTACCATGGCTGGATCACTAATGCACGAGAATATAATTAAAAAACTTATTCTCAAGCTCCAACGATGTAACAGTATAAAGCAACTCAAGCAAATCCAAGCCTCAATCACCACCACCATTGGCTTGCAAAGTTCCCTGTTCTCCATAACCAAATTGATAGAATTTTGTGCATTATCGCACCATGGATGCTTGGACTATGCTCTCATACTTTTTGATCGAATCAAATGGCCCACGACCTTCCTCTTCAATACGGTCATCCGTGGATTTGCGATCAGAGCCGTTCATCCCTGCCATGCCATCTCCTTGTATAGGAGAATGCTGTACTCTGGTTGCAAGCCTGATACATTTACATTCCCCTTTCTTCTCAAAGCTTGCTCCAGTTTTCAATCGGAAAAGAAAATGGGAGATGCCCATTTTATGAATTCAGTCTTGTCTGTTGAAATGCTGAATAACCATTTGGTTTCTGCTAAAATGGTGCATACCCATGTGGTGAAAATGGGGTTTCATGACCTATCAACCATGAATTCTCTGATTCATGGTTATTCTTGTTGTGATAGTATGGAGCGTGCGCGCCAGGTGTTTGATGAAATGGGTCAGAGAGATGTTGTTTCATGGAATTCAGTGTTAGCTGGCTATGCCAGGAATCATTTGCAAAGACAAGCTTTAGATCTATTTCTGATAATGCCATTAGAACCCAACGAGACGACTGCTCTGATAGTTCTCTCTGTGTGTTCGGTTTTGGGTGAAGTTAGCATTGGAAGGAAGATTGAAACTAGATTCAGGCAAAACCAACCTGAATTGAGCATTAGTTTGATGAATTCTCTCATTGATCTCTATGTAAAATGTGGTGATTTAGGGCATGCAAGGCGCCTCTTTGATGAAATGCCAGCTAGAAATCTAGTATCATGGAATATCCTCATTGATGGTTATATAAACAGTGGGAAGATTGAAATGGCTCGTCACCTTTTCGAAAGAATGCCTGACAGAGATATAATATCTTGGACCTCAATAATCTCTGGTTACATTCGAATGGGAAACTCTGACGAGGCATCAAAGCTATTTGAACATATGCTCGCATCTGGCCAAAAGCCCGATGAAATTGCCCTCTTGACCATTTTATCATCGTGTGCTAATACTGGATCATTCGAGTTTGGCAGGTTTATACACACTTGGGTCGATAGGATTGGTAGCGAAAACAGGTATAAAAATATAGTCCCCTTAGGCAATGCACTAATTGACATGTACTCGAAGTGCGGGTGCGTGAGTGAAGCTCTCACAGTCTTTGATAAAATGGCTCAAAAGAATGTTATTTCATGGAATTCAATGATTTCAGGTTATGCAAATAATGGTTTGGGCCAAGAGGCTTTGGACTTGTTCTCAAAAATGCGTCAGGCCCATGTTAAACCCAATGGACCCACCTTTATTGGGGTCCTCTCGGCTTGTAGCCACACTGGGCTCATTAGCGAGGGCCTGGAGTGCTATGAGCTCATGAACCAGGTCTATGGTATAAGCCCCACGGTTAAGCATTATGGGTGCATGGTGGACCTATTGGGTCGAGCTGGGCTTCTTGAGAAAGCCCATGGGCTTGTTAAGGCCATGCCATTAAAGGGCGATGCGTGTATATGGCGCACACTTCTTGGTGCATGTGTCATGCATGGTGATGTAGAGATGGCCGAGAGTGTCATTATGGAAATATCAAAGATTGGACCTGGATATGGTGGAGATTATGTGGTTATGGCAAATTTGTATGCCAGCAAGGGGAGGTGGGCTGATGCTGAGAGGGTGAGGAAGTTAATTGATGAGAGAAGAACTGGGAAGACCCCTGGTTGTAGTTTTAGGGTTTAAGAGAAATTGTGTAAATACATTATTTATCGGTGTGTACGGGTCGTTAAGGGCGTGTTTGATTTCAAGGAGGTTTTAGAAGTGGGAGTTCATAGTTCCACTTCCATGTTTGATTTCGCTTTGTAGCAACTGCTGCTGGAAGTGCGGCTTTCTATGCAGCACTTTTTTAACATAAATGGTGATCCTTTTTTGGAACACTGATCATCAATAAAAGAAATAATGGAAGGCGGTCTTCTATAATTTGTAGAAATGATGGAAGAAGTGGCTCATAGAACATGCGATTCCCAAGATTTAAGATGTGTATACAGGCTCGTCCAGTATACCCTTGATTTAGTTGCTTCTGCCTTTTTAAGTATCAAGAAAAGGGATTGTACAATGTATGACTTCATAGTTAGCAACAATAACTTTTAGTCATCAAATGTAAAATCAATTTTTTGAAGTATGTTACAATGTTTCAAAAGATTATTTTATAATTATAAAATTTTTATTGAACGTTAAGCTTGGTCAATGGCACACCTCTAGAAATCCTTATTTTTCATCAGACTTAAAATGTGCCATGAACTCCTTTGTAACAAACATAGGATTTCATTGTGTACCACCCCTAAAAAAAAGGTCCCTAAAAAGATTTCCGTGGAATTGATTACAACTTTACAAGACTATCATCGAAGTCTTACATGAATCTCTCCAACACATTCCCAACTGCCACCTCTATCGCATTAAAAATTCATTAGTTGCTCCACTTGTGATTGGTTTTTCAGTCATTAGCAAATATGCTATGCTCCCGCAAGAGCATATTTTATAGCCCTCGGGTAGAAGACTAACTTGGGAAGAGTTTTTTTATCTTAAATTTTGGAACCACCTAAGACTCACTAGATAATTATATTCAAAATAAATATATTGAACTTCGAGTTTTTTAACCCCTTGATCTCACCATTAAAAAATTTTAAAAGATTATTTTTTTCAAGCCCATAGATTTTATTGAGTATAGCATTGTCGTTGAAGAGGTCACATCCCTAAAATTTAGGGTCCTCAAAATATACCTAGATTACTGGAGGGAGTAAATGGACAATATGCTTCCTCAGGAGCATAATATCTTTTTCCATTTGTTGTTAATTAATTCATTATGAGTACTTGCACCATTATTTAAGTGTTTCCTGGATCCTCACTAAAAGCTGATCCCTATCTCCTACAACTCTCTCCTTGAATATCTCGTCTGTTGCTACCGCCGGCTCTCATTTGGAGGAATAAATTTCCTTCTATTTTTTTTTAAAGTGAACGCGCCACTGCTAATAACTCTTTTGTTTTTTTTTTCTCTTTTTTTTTTTACCTTTTTTTTTAATAATTTGAGGTGAAAGACTTTGCCTGACTTGTCCTACTTCTTTTGAGCATGGGATAACCCTTAGGGGTCCTGGGTTTTTTTCTACCAATTGAAGCCCTCCCTTCACCATCCCTATAGGGATGATCTATCGGATTCATAACTACTACTATTACTACAAAACGCTTATCTAGCCAACATTTAGGTCCCACTCTACTCAAAATGTCCCAATATTTTTTTAACTCATGTCCAATTGAAGGAAAATCTGGGGTGGTTCGTTTGATATCCAAAAACTGCTAAGCAACAATCGGATAAGTGGTCCGCAACAATGAGATAAGTGGTATCCATATGCAGTATTCTTTGTGATCCTGGTATATACTCGCATTCTTGGACTACATGATGCTAGCTTGTTTGATCATTCTTTTTTTTTTTTAAAGTGTACAATGTCAACTTTTATATTATAGAAGTGAACCTTAAAAACCCACAAATTGAAGATTTTAATGTGGATTGCTCACTCTATGAGAGCACTAACGGTGGACCAATTGCAAAGAAGGGGGTATTCCCATCCCCAATCGTTGTGCCCTGTGCACGAACGATGAGGAGACTAACGCTCATTTGCTCATCCATTGCCCTTTCGCCTTTAATATGTGGGGAGAAATCCTCAATCTCTTCAATGTTCAATGGGTACTACCGGCAATAGGTTCCCAATCTCATTTCTGCCATTCAGCCTTACCCCTGAGCCAAGGCCGGTATTTGGTTATGGAAATCAGTGATGGCAGGCACCATCTGGGCCATTTGGATTGAACGGAACAATCGCATCTTCCGGGGAGAGCACTCCTCTTGATACAAAACCTTTAGCAAACTCAAGTCTACGCTGATTTTATGGGCAACCAACCATAAGTACTTCAAGGGTCTGCCCCCCACGGCCTTCGAACAGAATTGGGAAGCTACCCTCAATCACAATAGTAAGCGTACATCCATGGCTGCAATTTGGAGATTCCCCCGGTAGGGGTCTTTTAAGCTCAACTTTGATGGGTGCTCCCTGGGCAACCCAGGGGCCTCGAGTGCTGGCGCTCTTCTCAGGTGGTGGGCACTCCTATAGCCACCCTTCCCAAGTTCATAGGCCACTGTGACTCCATGGAAGCAGAAGCCATCACGTTGCTGGCAGGTCTCAAGCTTGCCGTTCCTTTGGGTGTCGAATCACTCATTATTAGGGGGAGACTCAAGGAATATCATCGGTTGGGCTTCAACCCCTTCTCCTCCCCCATGGCAGTTGGCTCATCTGTTTGATGAGATCAACTACATTTGCAGGGAGATGATTGTGACCTGGAAGCACACATGGAAGGAAGGCAACCTTGGTGCCTCTTCCAATCTCGCAGAACTAGAACGCTGAAAGGCCTTTTACGTGTAACCCTTCGCTTAGAAGGCTTGTTTCTGTCTTTGCCTGAAACCTTTTTTGTGTAAACACTTTTGTGGTTTCTTTGGCTACACCCTTTCTGTGGAGCATCTGAGGTGTGGATTGCCCATCTTTCCGATTAATTTAAGGTTAACATCTTCCAAATAAAAATCACCTAATTGATCATCTCGACCGCAAGGTTTTTAAATATTAGAAAAAGGAATCTCTAGTCCTAAAAATAATTGATCTTATGGCACATTCTCCATTTTAAAAAATTCGCAAGTGTCTAAATCTACTCGATAGTTGACATGCACTATGTTTGGAGCTTTAAATTAATAATTAGGAGTGCAAACAGATTTTCAAGTCACCACAAGAACTTTTTTACATCGGAAGTGCATCTTTCAACACAATTTGGACGTGATACATCTTACCGCGACACTGTTGTTTATACAAACCGCACCCTTCTTATTGGATTTTGTCACAACTGTTCCTTAAATTACAAAAAAAATTCCTTGGCAGCCGCAGGCTGTGTGCGAGCGTGTCACAGAGAGAGAGAGAGAGAACAGATGCCTAATGAGTGAGAGAGAGAGAAAGAAAAAACAGATGCCCATTGGTGAACTCCACATGCCTCGTACAACTCAAAATTATGCGGTTTCCATCTCACTAATCATCTCTCTTTTCAATCAAACAATCTTCAATTGGGTAGAACAAAACCAATTGAAAAGAACAAAAAAACAAAGAAAATATAACAAACACCTACCCATGATTTCCTCCTCACTCCGACATCAACCCCTCAACAAACCAATGCAACTACAGTGACAACAATCACATATGATACACATTTCTACAACAACTCACAGCATCAGGACCCTCAAACCTCTCTAAGCACTTGAAGTCACCAAAGGCCCAGACACACATTCTCCGTCTCTCCGAACACCCCGACTATATCTACAGTGGTATAGCACCTGAACTGCAATCAACTCATCCATTTTCCTTCTCTACTATCTCTCTCCTCCCTTTAACTATATCCACTATAAGGATTATGGGGTTGATAGGGGTGCATACCCATAGCTCCATAGGGGTTTCCAAAGGGGTTTGGAGGTTGTTGCCCCATCATCATCATCTGTTGCTGTTGCTGAGCCATGAAAGCTTGTTGATGCTGAGCCATGGCGGCCATTTGAACAGCTGCAGGGGGGGGGACAGTATTGGAAGCAAAGAAGGGATCATGCATCATTTGGGAAGACTCGAAGTGGTTAGGGACCACCTGCCCCATGTGGTAGCTTCCGTTCGGGTTTGCTTGCCGTGAGATTGCATCATCATACAAGCCGTCAAGTGTGAGCTTGTCGAGCCCCCCAGCCTGAACCAGATTGGCAAGATGTCAGAGAGAGAGAGAGAGAGAGATTCAAAATAATGGACTATTCAACTGGGGGGAAGAGTTGAGATATTAGTACCAGTTTGCTCTCTGCTGCAGCACTTTCATTAGAACTTGGCGCAGTCACCAGCGCCAGCTCCCAGCCAGTTGTGCCACTCGAAAGATCCAAACCACTGGCAGTAGTTGACGGAGTATCTATACAGTCACAAAAAATATATCATCGCCAGATGAGACAATAAATATGCAACTAACCGAAGATTTCTTAATAAATTTCCCCATAAGAAATTTACCAACTGGGACAATGGCTAGTGCCATAGCATTTTTCTCATCTAATTCTGACGCACTTTGGCTAATTTCATCCAAGCCCTGTTAAACATATAAAATACATAATTACCGATGAAAGACTTTCAAAACACAATTATCATTCGAAACAGTATCAAAAAATCACATTATACACACAAAGAATCCCCAGACGATAACCATCATACCAAAAGATCACCAACTGGCTCTGGTACTGGAGCCTTGGTTTTGACTGGTTCAGGTGGAACTGGAGGGAGCTCCGGTTTCTCTTGTGGAGGTGGCTCTGGTTTCTCTTCAACTGTTTTTTTGTACTCGATTGCCAGGACCACCTTGGGAGCACCATTAGCCTGATGAAGTGGTCAAAATGAGAATCAATGGGTAAAAGGAGCAGAAACTGGAAGCTAGAATTACTAGACGAGTGACTTACAGTATAACAGTACAGAGTATAGTTTACCAATATCCAAATACCTTGTCTTTTTTCTTTTTTTTGAAAATGTTAACACTTATATTCAATTGAGTATAGACTGATACATATCTTCCAAAAACTAGGCCTCCCACATACCAGGAGCTCTATACAAAAAATTCCCACAGGACAGAAGCACTATGCAAAAGCATAAAGGCTACCCCTAGAGGAGGAGCCCTGTACAGAAAGCCACTACTCGAGTGAGATAAATCAATCCAAGTACAAACAATTCTCAATGGTAAGGCCTAAGGACATAGGGGATGGCTTTGCTGAGCTATCAAGGCTGCTTCCTTAGCGAAAGAATCAGCTTCTTGGTTGGTCTCGCGCCAAATATGCTACCAAGAGACATAAAATATCCCTTCAAATGTGTGAGGTTTCATCAAAAATGTGAACCAAAGACCAAGGGCAAGGAGAAGAGCCAGAAACCCACCGTATTACATTCTTGGAATCCCCCTCACTAACAAAAGGCTCCACTGGGAGTTGAACAATCTGATGCCCTCAAGAAGAGCGAGGGCCTCTGCCACATGTGAATCGGAATGTCCAATACTTTTGGAGGAGGCCAGTATGTAACCTTCATGGTCCCTGAATAAACCGCCGATCCCTAAGGGATCCGGGTTACTAGGAAGCAACCATGGTCAAAGTTTAGGTTGGTCTGCCCTGGGATTGTTGGTTTCCAATGGGAGGTCCGAGGAATGCAAACCTGTCAGGAGCAAATGGCTTCCCAATCTTGAAAGAATGCGCAATGGGGGAGGCATTTAAAGTGTTTGTGGTTTGTTGTCCAGAAAATAATCATGGACTTGATCTTCTCAAACATTGAGGCCAGCATGGACCTATCTCCACGGGAGATCCTATTGTTTCTCTCAGTCCAAATGATCCAGAGGGCTGCAGTCACCGAAGCCTTCCATAGAATTATTCCAGCTTTGGGCCATGGAAAAGCCTTCCATAAAGAGAGGGTATTGACTTGGGAGTGACCCATTGCCATTTAAATGGTTGAAGGAGAGCCCCCAAATTTCCTGGGCCAGAGGGCAGAGAACGAACCGGTGAGCACTACTCTCTTCATGAGCCAGGCAGTAGACCTCTCTTTTGGAGTTGATCCAACTGTTAACGCCCTTTCGGACAAGACTATCCAATTGAAGACTTGTATTTTTGGGGGGGGCAATGGAAGACCAAGCTTGGGCTGTGATAGAAGTGGGGGCGAGGGGATATGTTGGCAGTTGTGAATACCCCGAAGGGAGATGAGCACCAGATGAGAAGGTTGTTACCCATGGGAGTGAGGAAAGTATTGTGGAGGGTGGCGGAAAGAGAACAGAAGTCGGCTATCTCTAAGTCAGTGAGAGGTTGCCTGAAGGTCGGGATCCAGGTTCGAGAGAGTGCCAAGGAAATTGGTTATGAACCAGGTTAAAGAGGGAGGGGTAGAGATCTTTGAGGGGGGTGTGCCCTATCCAGAGGTCAGACCAGAAACTAATGCGGCACCCCTCTCTAGGGTGGACGTGGATGAAGTTTTTAAAAATGTTGAAGGAGGAGAGCATGGATTTCCAAGCCCCAGATGATCTACTATTAGGCCTGCATTCTGGCACCCAAACAGAAGGGGCAGTCGGTATTTATGCCGGAGAACTTGTGTCCAGAATTGTTCACCTTGGTAGCGAGATGCCACCACCATTTGCCCAGTGAAGTTGTGTTGTGCTTCCTCAAATTCCAGATACCAAGGCCCCCGAGCCACTTAGGCTGGTACAGTTTCTCCCACGAAATGAGGTGTAACTTATGTGCAGATGCTTCACCCGACCAAAGAAATCTTCTCACAAGTTGCTCGAGGCGATTGGTTACTGCTGCGGGCAAGTGAAAGAGTGACATTTGGTATACCAGTATATTGGCGAGAATGGCATGATTCTTACAGCCGGTGAGAGGAAGCGACCCTTCCATCCTGCTAGTGTGGGACCACAGCCTTTTCTTTGGTTTGCCAATACAGAGGGGTAATCCCAAGTACTTGGACGGTAGGGATTCCGCCTGGAAACCCCAACTGGCTGCAAAGGCCTGTGTAGCTTGGAGATCCAATGCAAGGCCAATCATCTTAGATTTGGTCCAGTTGACCCTAAACCCCGTGGCAAATTTGAAGCATTTAGGGTGTGTTTGACACATGGAGTTTTTGAAAGTGGAAAGGACTCTCCCACAGATTATGGAAGACTGCTCTTCCATCATTTTTGATGGAAGGGAGGTCTTCCAAAATTGAACCCATTTTAACACTAAAAAAAAGCTGCATGGAAGGTCGCCCTTCCACTTTACAGCTTCCATACAGTACTATCAAACATGAAAGTGGGACACTTGACTCCCACTTCCAGAAACTTCCACTTATCAAACACGCCATTAAGGAAGAGGAGGGAGACAACTTCCTGCTCAGACGCTCCACAAAAAATAAGCATGTCATTAGCATATCGTAAGTGGGTCGTAACTGGGCACCGAGGTCCACCCTTGAAACCATGTATCCTCCCCGAGGATAACATTCGGAAAATGGATTGACTAGAGACCTCGGCAACAAACAGGAAAGGGGAGAAAGGGTTTCCCTGCTTGAGACCCCTAGAGGCGGGAAAGTATCCCTTAGGGCATCCATTGATTAGGATGGAGAAGTAGGGGTTGGAATAACGATCTCCAACGAACACCAAATCCCATCCTAGATAAGGTCTCATCTAGAATACCCCAGTCTACGTGGTCGTAGGCTTTCTCCCAATCAAGTTCGATGACCAAGTTTGGTATTTTGGACAGGTGCCTAGGGTGAATGCACTCAAGAGCCACTAGCACCCGATCAAGAATTCCTAAGTCTTTGACGAAATCCCCTTGGGAAGGGGAAATGACCTGGGAAGGTTATAGGAGGAATACCCTCAGGAATCTGGGGGGTGATGAGGTTGGAAGGGGGGAGACAAAACCTATAAGGGAGTGAGTGTTGAGCAGTAGGAGTGCCAAATCTTCAGCTTGCATCAATTGAGGTAGGGAGAGCAGAGGGAGGGAAGGGGGGCTGACTGGAGGGTGTATTCCAGTAATCCATCTGGTTAGAGGTGCCAAATCTTCAGCTTGCATCGATTGAGGTAGGCCAAGCAGAGGGAGGGAAGGGGGGCTGACTGGAGGGTGTATTCCAGTAATCCATCTGGTTAGAGGTGGCAAGAGAGCTAGGCGAGGGGGGAGACTCTGCCAGGCGAGGGGCCATCTGGGGGGGTTGGGGTGGGTGGCTGACTGGAGGGTGTGTATTTCAGTAATCCATCTGGTTAGAGGTGGCAGGAAAGCTAGGCGAGGGGGGAGACTCTGCCAGGTGAAGGGCCAGCTGGGGGGGAGGGTGGTGTGTGTGGGTCAAGCACCGACAAACGGCCGTTGTCCGAAGACGAGGGGATATGCTCTGCGAGGAGAGGTCAACTAGAGGAGGAAGGCCATGAGTATTGTTTGTTGGGGGGGTGGGTAAGGGAAGAAAGAGGGCAGAGTCTAAAGGGGAGGAGAGATGGGAGAGGGAAGCAATGGGAAAGAGAAGAGGCGGAGACAGGGATATTCTTCTATGACTACGAATATGGAGACATTCCTGACATAATAATGACACGGTAGGAGTAGCCGACCATTGAGGATGCCTTACTAAAGGAAGTGAAATGTGACAATATAGAGAATCTACCAATATGTTCAGCAACTAGTGGACAATATATGCAAGGCTTGCCATTTTTAGTGCAGAGCAAACTCTTCCATGGGCGAGAAAGTAGCTTGGGCTTTGATAGTTGCGGCTGTATGGCATACTCCAGCAAAAGCAAACGACTGACTTATTCCTCAGGCATAAGGCCTACTTAAGAGGAGTTTTTCTAGTTGAAAATTTGGGATCTACTTTAGAACCACTAGATGAGTACTTTCGGGGCAATAAAAAGGATTATGACTTTCTAAACAATTGGATCCGCCTTCCAAAAATTAGACAGTCTCTAATTAATCTTAGGATATTATTTTTCAGGCATATAGAGTGCGTATGATTTTAATTTTTAATTATTACTATTATTATTGACGTTGGCCTCAAGGTTCGGGAGGTTAGATCCCCAAAATTTTGACTCCTAAAATTACTCCTAGACAGGCCAGTGAGGGGTTGAATGTATGAAATGCACCCATTAGCCTGTTTTGGCTTATTAACTTGGCTCTAATCCCTTTTTTGGTCATAGTATGTCTCAAATCCCCCTTTTCATCAGAGAATATCAAGAACTAACTAGAAGAACCACTGGCCTTGTTCCCTCTCAATCTGATGAAAAAACAGATCACCTTGCTAATAACCAAGTTGAACTTCTAACCCAATACATAGAAATGAAATCCATGGCAGTAAGGCAAATCTAGCAGAAAATTATTCACATGTAATGAGTGAGAGAATTTCATACCATGTCATGGTTAACTGATGACATTCGCGGAGCCTCCTTCACATACTCTTCCATGGCAGTGATAAATGATGCAGGGGGCTGCAATCAAGTTAAAAATAGTCTATGAGAAATCTAGGCGCGAAGATGAACAATTATAAATAAAGATTCCTTTCTCTATTTTGCTCTTATAGTGCTTCAAAATTAAAAGAAGTCAAAATCAGGAACAATCAAATTTGATATTGTGAGTAAAGCAAGTGGGCAACAAACACATAAATCAAAAGTTTCCATACCTGTTCGATTTTGGAGAACTTCTGCCCCCTCCCAAGATCAAGGCCCTTACAAACTTCATAAAGCTCAGATAATCTCTCTGCCTGAGGGACACAGAAGGAATACCAGAATATGTGTAAATGCAAAATTGAAGAGTGAAACAAATTTCTAGCATGTAACTTCTAAGACAATTTACACTTTAACGACTAAAAGTACTATATTCCACAACTACCACTTCCTTTTACAACAATAAGGTTAATGATCACAACATTTAAATAAATGGAGAATGAGACCATTTATATTTGGGTACATAGAGGTCAAAATTAATCTTGACCATTGGATACGAGATGGGGTAGCTGCATTTGTTCCATTGACCAGTCGCAAAGTTCCAAAGAAATTTTTTCGAACTTTGCAACACACTCAAGCTGTCAGATTTCACAGCAGATTGTTCTAGGTAGTTGTGACCTCCTTGTACCATGGATAAATGGTCTCACAATATGCAACCCCTAAACAGATATATACCTGGATTCCTGCCTTTCGGTAAATCTCAAGAGCCCTAAGAGCATCATGCCGTTGCATCTCAAAGAACTGTCATTACAGCAGATAATCACAATCCATCCACAGTTAATCCAAAAGAAAAAAGGAAAAGAAATAAAAATATCTAGAAATGCACCTTGTCAACCAAATTGAGAGTTCCATCATTGATGGCATTATAGAGTTTAATGCTTTCTCCTGCAACCTGTACATGGAAGATTATAAGAAGCAAGTTCAAACTTCAAATGCTAACTTTTATTGAACCAGCCTGACTGAACATATTCAGCAGGCATCTTACCATTGAAAGTGCATATTGGATCACATAGTTATACACAGCTGCTCCCTCTGGCTGCAAAAGTAGTATACTGTTAAAAAAATTGACAAAGACCATGAATTAATGAAAAAACGCAATATGTATCATTCCAAAACCTGGCAAGCAAGAAGTCGGTGGAGAAGTTGTTGCAAAGCTGGCAACTGCTCAAGCAAGTCTGGTGTGTCCAATTCCCTGGTTCTCTGACAAGCATGTTTCATCAGCAAACATTATAATTTGGTAGTCTTTAAGTAGAAAATCTAAAACCTCTCTCTAACATAAATACAAATTGATATAGCTCCTTAATGAGTTAAAACTAGATAGATTTTTATTTCTCCATTGGTCAGTAAAGTATGTTTCCCATTCAATAGGACCAAAAATTTCTGGTGCCAATTTGATAGGATGAAGGCTAAATTTCCATTACCCAAAGATTATATGCTCCCTAGGGAGCATACTATCCATTTACTCCCTCAGGCAAAAACCAATCTAGGAGTATTTTTAGGACCCAAAATGTTGGGGACGTAATCTCTTCAACCCATATGCTATATTAAAAGAAAAAAATTTCCAAACTGCATTTTATATAGGCTGAAAAATAAAATGCCTCAAGATTGACTCAAAACCATCCAATTTTTGAAGGGTGAGACCTACGTGCTACAGAACTCAAAATCTGAACTTTTTCTTTTGAATATATTCATATAAAGGCTTTTAGGTGGTTCCCACATTTTCAGATCATAACAATCTTCCCAAGTTAGTCTTCTGCCCAAGGGAGTAAGTGTACAGTATGCTCCCCAAGGAGCATAGTATACTTGCTCTTTGCATTATATGCTACAGTATAGAAACAGATGACGTGGTCATGAAACATTCAACTATGACTACAAAAACCCACATATTATCAATGTAAGCATGAGCTGCAGGACCAAACAGACCAAGAAAACCTTTAACTAATTTTTGTTTAAATTCTTCAATTTCTTTTCATGTTATCTAGTCCAACCAGATCAAGCAAACAATTCCATCTCTGCATCTGGCAGCCTCCAAAACATTGTATCAAAGGCAGTCCAAAATTCAAGTGATGCAAAACAAGGAAAGACATTTAAACAGAATAATGCACAGGAATACTTCAGTGTAATATACTACTTACTGAGCGCTCCGTCTCAACATCATACTTCAGTACACGGAAACATTCCAGCCGCTCCTCAAGATACAGGGCATACATACGCACCCAAGCAGAATAATCCCATGCTTAACACCAATATAGCAAAAAAATTACCTTCTCGTAGCGCATTGCAGCATTAATAAAAGAAATTGAAATAATGTAATAAAAGAGAAAAGATAATGGAAACCATGAGTACCATTTGGACTTGAGTCATCCTTGAAGTGTGACAAGTTCAGCATATGTCCTCTGCTCCTACCATAATTGATTAGCTCTTCCCGGAAAGTAGGATCAACCTCCCTCAAAGCACGATGTATGACAATCAGTGTTTTCAGCGCAACCTACAGATTAAATTAAAAAGATCTGCATAAGCTCAAATACAGCAACCAACAAGGGCCTTAAAAAGAAACAGACATAAGCAGTCGATACAAATAAAATTTTTAACTAAATATGATGCTAAATCCTTTCAAGTAATCTAAAACGTATCAAAGCAATGAATTGCATGAAACTTGTGAACTACAGAAAATCAAAAGCAAATACATCCCATAAAGCCCAGTAAACCATCGCGATTTGAAAGGGATCATGGGTAAGAGTGTCATATTTAAAAGGGGCATTGTAATTTTATTTTATTTTTTTTGTGAGAGAGAGACAGTTAAGTATAATTTCAGTGAACTAGAGCATACTAATGCAGGGAAAAACACAATACATAGGTGAATCCACTTTATACAGCAAAGTTAAGGACCAGTTAGAAAGCAGAATGTTTGTGACCCCATCACCGGTGTGCTAACTTGCAAAAAGCAACTTTGCATGTGGGATGAAAACACGTATTTTCTGTTTTCATACCACTAGCAAAAAGGACTGCTTTTGTACAAATCAGCTGGTTCAAAACATACCTATTGAGTGGCATCCCAAGATCATTTCTTGGAAAGCATTGACAGCTTGTGGGACCATAACTACAACTGTCGAATGCTTCAAGGTAGCTTCCAGGCCCTAAACACTTAATAATGCTACAAGAGCTTAGTGATCAACTGCTCAGATACCCATAGAAATTACGACATGTTCACATTCCACAATCAATAGCTAAAAGCGCTCATAATGCAACAAGTTTAAAATGACTTCGCATTTATGCATATCCCTTGGCGATGATAGTGAGGAGAGAATGCTAGAAAATGGGAAGAGTGCAGATTGTCAAAAACAGGAGATTTTAATAAAGATACACCAAGCCTTTTATAGGACTCCAGGGAGTCATTCTTATCCATCTCCTTTATAAATCAACGAAATACTTTGAACAAATATCTGATCCTTACAAACTAAAACTCTGCAAGTCCACTCAGGACTTAGCGAGTCGGCAGCTCAAGACCCAACAGATCTCCGAGATAGGTACAAGCTTTTAAACTTCACTCTAGACTACCCAAGAGCTTCACTTCAGTAAGAAACAGAAACCTAATGACCCCCAATTCAGTCGACACTCTTTTCCAAGTAACCCCCAACCAATGTTCGAAAATTCAGCCGCCCGACCGCCTAGGCGCAGTCTGGGCGGGGGTGTTTTGATTCTGGGAGCCCGCCTCGGCGATCAAGGCGCCTCTTAAGTGCTATTGTCTGGGCGCCCACCTAAGCGCCGCCCCATGACAACTTGCGGGCGGGCTGAAAAAAAGCCCTCAGTGAGCGTAAAAATTGTAATTTTTTCCACCTAAAAAGGGGGGAAAGAGGTTTTAGGGGGTATTCTAAACCCCCAATAGAAAATCCGTGGCCTTTAGGGTGAGAAAAACCACTCTTTTGTGATTTATCGAAAGATCGATAAATTTTTTATTTTTTCGATTTCTTCCCAAAATGACGGCAATAGTTTGTGGGTGGATTTGGAGCTTCTAGTAGTTGATTTTGGGAACTTTTGACAACCCAATAAACGAGGTTTGCACCAACATCAATTTGATTTTGATATTTTTAAAGTATTATCATATTTGAAAGAGGGTTTGATTTTATTTTGCTACAACCTATTATGCTAAGACTCATGTGTTTTTTCTTTTACTTTTTTTTTCTTTTGAGGTATATTTACATGTTTGTAGTTAAAAGGTTGATTTTTTTGGTGATTTATTGATTTCTTTCTCTCTTGGACGATATCATATTCTTTCATGAATAATTGATTCCTTTTTTGTACAATGTGTCTTATTTTGATATTCTATTTTTTTTTTGCTTTAGTTTATTTGGTGATTTATTGATTTCTTTCTCACTTGGACGATATCATATTCTTTTATGAATAATTGATTCCTTTTTTGTACAATGTGTCTTATTTTGATATTCTATTTTTTTTTTGCTTTAGTTTATTTGATAAATAATTGATTATGTGAAATCTTAATGGGTTAAGTCTTATGTGAAAGTGAAACGAAAGTCTTAAAATGTCTTACATATTCATTTAAGTACTCCCTTGTTTTTTATGTTTGGGGTGAGGGGTGAGGGGTGAGGGGTGGGGGTGGGGGTGGGGGTGGGGGTGGGGTGGGGCACCCTGTCCTTGGGTGCCTGCCTAGGGGGCCAGGCACCCAAACTGCCTAGGCGCCCGAATCCGTTTTTTTTAACATTGCCCCCAACTAAACATAAAAGTCCAAACTGGAAGCTAAATTCACAATGCTAAGGCATCAAGCTTGAACTGAATTAACAATAATACATATACAGGCATAGAACAATTTTTTAGTCAAAATATATAAAATGAAAACAATAGTAAATATATAACATCCCATGTGATTCAGGACCTCACTAGTCAATGGGAATGTGGAGCTGAAAAATTGACTTCCACTTACCTGGGCCTGCCCCTTTGCGTTGGCAAACCGAAATCGCAACAATGGGGAAACATCATAGGAAAATTTGACCACAAGCTTGAGGGTTTGAAAGGAAGGTTCCTCTCTTCAGCAGGTAGAATCACCCTAATAAACGCCACCCTCTCAAATCTCCCTATCTACCAGATGTCACTGTTCCACATGCTAGCTTCAGTGGTGGCTCGTCTCAAACAGTTGATGAGGAAAATTTTCAGTGGTCTGGAGAGGGGAAGAAGAAATTTCATCTTATTGCAAGGGACAAGATCTGTTTGCCGAGATAGCAGGGTGACCTAGGCATCAGCAGCCTTAGAGGAAACAATTTGGCCCTCCTCAACAAGTGGTGGTGGCACTTTGAACAGGAAAAAAACTTATGGCAAGAGGTTATTCACAACAAATACCACTGCAAGAATTCTGTTTGACTACCCAGAGGCATGGCTAACAGTGTCTTCAGGGTTTTGGCGTTGTTTACTAATTATCTACCACCTTTTCAAAGACAGCAACTGCTTTCAGCCGAGGGTACACAATAGAATCAAGTTCTGGAGACACCTTTGGATAAGGAATCCCACCCTACAGGAGCGGTTCCACAATCAGTTTCGCTTGGCTCTGGATCAACTGGCTACTATGGCCAACCAATACAATACTTTCGGGAACTCAAGGATTTGAAATCCTAAATTCAGATGGCCCCGATCGCACCACGAATTTGCTGACTTCGAGTTCCTTTCTTCTCTCTTGTACTCGACCTTCCTCTCCTCTAGTGGTGTCGACAAGATCATATGGAAACCGGCCACCTTGGGCACTTTTTCAGTATCCTCTTTCTAGCGGAAACTGCAACAGCCCTCAATTTTCCCTCTTCCTCCCCCTTCACTTGCCGCAAGAGCCTGGCTCCCCTCCATTCCAACCAAAGATCCAGCTATTCAGCTGGAATGCTATATCCGAGAGGGCTTTGATGATGGACCAGCTAAAAAAAGTGGGTTGCCGATCCCCCTAGCAGATGAGCCATGTGCAAATCAGCAGAAGAAACAAATGCACATCTCTTCATCCACTGCGACCTGGCACAGGCCATGTGGAGGAATCTGATGCAACTCTTCCACTCGACATGGGCGACTCCCAAATCTGTCCCCCAACTTTTTAGCTCCCTCAATCTCCCCCCACCCTTCGGTCGAAGTCGGATATTTTTCTTGCAGGTCCTCCATTGCAGCCACCCTCTCAGTGATATGGACCTAAAGAAACCATAGGATCTTCCATGGAGGGAAGTCCACCATCTGCACACTAAAGGACCACATTAGAACTATGGTAATTTTTTTGGGCAATGCACCTTAAACTCTTTGCAAGCCATGCTTAACAAGGCCCTCTCATATTCCAACCCACCTCCCTTTGGAAAACACCAGAGCGAGGACAAACCAAACTCACTTTCGATAGTTGCCCCCTCGGCGACCCCGGTGCAGCTGGCATCGGGGGTATCTTCAGAGAAAAGGACAACTGCACTCTTTCTTCCTTCTCCAAATACATCGGTCACATGGATTCCACAACAGCGGAGGCCCTTTGAGGGCCTTAAATGCTTCAACCCAGATTGGAACTCCATTTTGGTCCTCAAGGGGGACTCCAAAAGAGCCTCACCGTGCCCATGGAAACTGGACAACATTTACGACGAAATTTTCGACGTATGCAGGCCTATGCGCATCTTATGGCGATCTACGTGGCATAAGAACAACTCAGTAGATGACAGCCTCACTAAAGAAGGAGCAATCTCTAACAGCGCCATGGAGACCCTTTCACCTTTTTGAGCCCTCAGTCCTGCAAGCTTTCTTATCTTTCTTGCTGCATCTATGGCTGCCTTTTTTGCCCCCAATCTCATCTTTTGTACTTAGCACCCAGACTGAGGAATGCCTTACCTTCATTTTGTACCTTTTCTCACTGTTAAAACTAACGTCAACAACTTTTTGAAAAAAATACATGTGCTTATTTTGTGAGAATATTGCACGCTCCTATGGCATATTGAAGAATGCCCACTAGACCACATCCACCATCCAACATTGGATGGACAATGTTGGATGGTCGTGATAGGATAAGGGTGGGAGTTCCCAATGCTTTATCTCCTGTTACAGTACTACAATATTCTAAACAATGCTCAACAAACTCCACAGTTCAGTAGAGGTTGAAAGTACTAGCAGTATTCTGTTATTATTTTTCAAATGTCCACTTCCAAAGCTTTCTGAACAAGCCAAAACATTGAAATATCTTTCCTCAGTCACCAAATTTAAAAACTAAGTTAAGAAACTAAAGGAAACACAACATTTCTATATTAAACAATACATGATGATTTGAAAAGGATCACTTCATCTCAAATAATTTAAGGACCATTTCACTAAGCATGAGATTTGGTTCCTATATACTTAGCCAAATGCTTCAGGAAAATAATGCTCTTCATTTCAATAAGAACCGATTAAATAAAACTCAAGAAAGCATCTAGGTCATATACAATCAATAGTATTTGGGCATCAAATTCAAACTAAGGCCAAAAACAATTATTAAAATGTTTCTGGAGAGGTAACTGTAATACTAACAACATTTGCAAGCACATCAGGGCAGTATTTCTATTTTCTAATGAACTCAAAGGGACATATTTGTATATCCTTCCATGATGATAGGCACATAACATTCAAAGGCATCACACAGAATCACAGATCCTGTTACAAATGAAGCAAGGAACAATATGCATAATGAATATATGATGAGCACAGCAAAGAGACATATACGGTACATACCGCCCAGTTGTGTGTCTTCACAAGACGCCTGGCAAGAGCATGTATGCAATATGCCACATCAGCCCGAGGTCTCGCAACTGAAGTTGCAGAAAATATAACTGCCAGAATAATTACAATCATAAGGCATATGATTTCAAAGCCACCAACCTTTCTAAAGTTTGCATCAGTTGAAAATTAGGAGGAGAAAATACTGTTAATTTTCCCTCTAGAAGCTCGCATCACCAAATTTTCAAAAGACAGCATCAGTGATTGTGAAAAAAGGGATTAAAACATACTGTAGTATTGAACAGTGATTACCCAGACTCGTGCCTGGACTCACCATGGTCCCAAGCTCAAGCCAGGGCTGACTCAACCAAGTTTCTATAAAAGGGTATAAAAAAAAATTCATCAATCAGGTCAGACTCGACCCAAATCTTAGGGTTCCTCATCCCAACCACACCCTGCAAGGTCTAAGCAACTCGTGTTAGTCTTCTTCATCCAGACCTGGCACCCTGCAAGGTCCAAGTGACTCGGGCGAGTCTGGGCTCAAGTCGCTGATTTTTTAAACAGTGACTATTAAACAAATAGATTCTAAAAGTCTCTTTTAACAGTCTCTAAGACATTGTTTGAATAGGCTGGGCCTTACTTTGGATGTGTTTTTCCTTCGCCAATTGCTCCACATGGTTTGTCGCCTTGACAATCGCAACATCTAGATCCTGGAAAACCGTAAAGCAAAACTCACTAGCGAGTCCAAGAAAGTATCACCAAAGAACACATGAAGATCGAAGTTTCACAACTTTAATGACCTTGTAGTCACTGTTAACCATTGCCAATCCAACAGTTGTTGAGTCCTTTAGAGCTCCTAGATATCTTCTCAAGCTCTGTTGAGTACCTCCAACGCCAGCCATGATGCTATCTGTGTGGCAACCTGAAAAAGGTTATTGGCATGCAGTCAGACATAATTCAACAATAAAGCAAAACAAAATAATTGGGCACCATTCAATATTGTCATCTCAACATGAATAGGATGGCATTTTCAAAAAAAGAAACATGGATAGGATGTCTCCATGAAATCCAATTATTAAGCATAACCTTATATGGGGACAAAATGCCTTGCATGCCTATTGCAGAAAAGTTCCATTCTATTAAACCATTAAAGAAAAAGGAAGAAAGATAGCCTGCCAGTTCATCTAGTATCAAAACATGAAAAGTCATTTTCCTTGAGGACAAATAACCCTTTGTGTTTTTGATACTGTTAACATTGCATTGATGATGAAAGAGATACAACACAAAATGTCACCAAGGGGAGTGACAAAAGAGAACCAGAAAAAGGGGTCAGAGCCCCATCATTACAACTGACCAAGAAAACAAAAGTCACCCAGCAAAGTGGAGGCAGAAAACCAAAAATAGGATAGGCCCACGTAATGGGCAAAAGATGTGTTTAGCCCGGAAGTAGAATGGAGGCAGCTCCCTGTTTTGCTAGACCATCTGCGATCTGGTCGGCCTCCCACCAGATATGAGTCCAGAAGACCGGCGTAGCCTTGCAAAGATCAAGGATAGTGTCAAAGATGTTCCTAAGCCTCCACAGGGGTTGGGCTTCGCCAGATGCCCATGAGATGATATTTTGGGAGTCCCCTTCCACCCAAAGGGGGAGGCCCCAGGAGCGAAGCCTTGAAGGCCTTCGAGGAGAGCCCTAGCCTTCGCCTCAGTGGAGTCTACTACCCAAATAGAGAAGGAGTAGGAGAGAAGGGTAACCCCCTGGTCGTCCCTAAAGACTCCTCCAATGCCTGCCGGCCCAGGATTGCCCAAAGATGAGCCATCGAAATTGAGTTTGACCCCACCACTCTCCAGGGGTCTCCAGAGCGCGGACCGAGGCACCGAGGTGGGCCTGTGGTTGAGGATATGAGTCCAGTTGGACAGAAAGTTAGACCCAGGGATGCCTTTGAAATGTTTGTGGTTGTAGCCCAGAAAATTACCGAACCCCTAATGGAGTCAATCAGTTTGAATAGAGTTGCAATCTCCCCTTGGAAAATGCGATTATTGCGTTCCTTCCATAATCCATATAATCCACAGGGTGGCCCCTATTGTGGCTTTCCAAAGTAGAGCCCTAGCTTTCGGCCAGGGCAGGAAAGACAAGGTGGAGGCGAGGTTGGGAACGTTCCAGGAGTGACCCAGGACCAGCCGAAAAGAGAGAGGTTGGATTGCCAAATTGCTGCAGCAATTGGACAGTGGAGGAAAAGATGGGCGTTGCTTTCCTCTGCCTCCAAGCACATTGCGTATCGATTGGGTATGGGTAGGCCTCTCGCTGGAAGGAGATCTACCGTGAGCACCCTTTCCCACAGAGCCAACCAAATGAAGAACTGGATTCTGGAGGGGATGACGATAATTCATGCTTTGGGAGTGGCCGGATGACACGGTAGGGTACCCAGAACTAGGTAGGAGATGGAGCAATAGAGGGAGGCCACCGAGAACCTCCCAGAATGGGAGGCTGACCAAATAATGTGGTCCTCTCCCCTCCTAAGCAAAGGAGATCAGGCGATGCGAAGAGAGAGCTCCTGAAATTCTGGGAGTTCAGTATCACGCAAAGACCGACAAAAGTCAAGATTTCAAGTCCTAGGATTGTCGTCGATGGGGAAGAGAGAGAGAAAGAATAGAAGCGGACGGATCCCGGGTTAGACGGAAGAGGGATGGGAAACGAGCCGAAAGGGGAAAGGGAACAAGCCAAGGATCCAGCCCATAAGCGAATGCTGGACCCGTCCCTGGGGAAGAAGCGGATGCGTTCCTTGAAGAATTCATGGCATCAACAATTTTTATCAACAAACTTCAAAACATAATTGCATCAATATTTGGAAGAATAATAGTCCACATAATCGACACTAAAGTTGATGAAGATTATCATCCCATCCTTATTCCAACTATTTAGGGTCGGCTACACGAATCCTGTTCCACCAATTATTGGATCAAAATTTATGATAGAGATGTGGCAAAGGTTTTCAAGGCATGCATAGACCAGCATTCAGGACAATGTATGATGCATGTATAAGGCTGTGGACTCAACTCTAGCATCAGTTGTGTAACTTGAAATGTATTTCTAAAGTATCCAACATGGACACCACATCCATTCAGAAGTATATGCAAATCATAGCAGACAATTCCATGTGAAGGTTTAAAGCTTCAAATTGCTAAACAAGTCTTTATGATCACCAAATATAACTCCTATAAATTTCCAATAAAAACCTACAGAACATCTCATAGAGAAAAACAGGTAGGCGGTAGGATGTAAATACCTTTTGCACTATATGAGGTCATGAAGCATTATTGAAAATGGGAAAGCATTCATTAAGGACTCACTGCAAGTCCAATAACTTGCTTGATATTGCTTATATATAATATTCTGCATTTTTTCGGCATATAAAAGGTATTCCCAGTGTGCTACAAACTGGATTCAATGCCGTTATACATACTACACTTTTTCCTTTTTTCTTTTAAGTTTTTAGGGAAAGGAGTTTGAAAAATTTATCAAATATTTAAAGTTGATTGATTAACTCAGCGAGTAAAGTCAGTTTTTCAATAAACAGGCCAATCAACGAATGTGGGTCTTGGAACACTGGGCAAGCTTAATTACCTCGAGATACATGGACTTATTCAAGTCAAGAGTTGTAGTAGAACCTAAACAATTTGCTGTCTATCAATCCATACGTCTCAGTGAAAGGGAAAGAACACGTAGGAGAACTAAACAATTCGTCACTAATGAATATGCATGCTACCAATGCTAGAATAAACAAGGCTTGAATTTCTGTATTCGCAAAGTACCTTAGGAAACACTGAGAATGATCATATGTACATGAAAGCAAGAGTATAAAATTAAGGGGAACCTTCTAGCAAGCCAATTCCACCCCAACCATTATCTCCATTAGCATTCATTAACTCAAACTCATTGTCTGATCAAGGCAGAAAAGGATAAATATAATAGTTAACTTGAAAAAACTCAGTGATTTTTTCAAGATTTCCTGTGAAGAACTTTAAAAGTAAAGTTCCTATAATGGGAATTGATTCCACGTCATCACCTAAGTCATATTACAAATTCTACCGCATTGAAAATGCCCATCTAGAGGCAAAAAAAGAAAAAAAAAGTCACATGCACACGTATGCGAGAGCACACACACACCCATCAGAAAACTCAGCCACATCCCAAGAGTTTATTTATAGAACTTGCACAGTGACAGAGTCAATGTGACTCAGGCAGGTTTTTCCAAAGAAAAACTAGTTTATATTCACTGATCTCCATCATGCACCTGAACCCATCAAATAATAGGACTATTTTTTCTTTGAAAGGAACAATAGTAAACCAAACTAGAATACACTATGGTAAATAATTAGTTATCTATTTCAATATACTAGTCAGGACGGGCACCATCTGCTTGAATCCAACCCTATTAGAACCCATCAGCCAAAGTCCATTAATTTAATCTTGAACAAACAAGCCCAAAGCATTATCTCCAAGAGTACAACTGTTCTACATGGAAGTTCAACTTCATAATCAATATTTCAATACCAAGTTACAATTTCAATTGCCAAGTATAAAAATTTTTCAATAAATAATATAAAAAGAGAAGAATACAAATTTTCAACAAATCATTTAAAAAAGAAGCACCCCGCCTTATGGCATGTAAGATACACCAGATCATGATGCCTTCCAGTATCAGCCCAAACCCAATAAATAAGCATGTGGATTCTTCTTCTAAATTACAATTATTATGAAGAATTTTAAGTGCCTCTGAACTGAATTTCAACTTAAATCCCATTTTTCATAAGAAAACCCAAAAAAATCAACCCTAATTGGAACAAGATAACATCTGAATCGCTTCTGGCAAATACAATTTAACAGATATTCGAACCCAATTCAAACTTCAATTCGATTTTTAAAAAACAAACCCACAAACAATTAATCAATCGTAATCACAACCACACAAAATTAAAATCACTCTTGGATGAACCACAATTCAATACAGTCCACCCCAAAATCACATTCAAAACCCCAATTCCACAATCTCATTCAAACAAAACAACAATCTTTCCAGACCAGTCATAATTCAAGAAATAAATTTCGAACTTCAAAAATCAATTTCGAAATCAACACATTCCATCCCCAACAACCAGCATTTCACAACGTAATCGCCCCAAAAATGGACCATAAAACATAGAAAATCACTAGAGTGGGAGCACCTCAAGATCAAAACATCAAAACAGGGATTATACACCTCAAAAGCAGAGTAAAAACCCTGATTTTAAGTGTTAAGTACCTTTGCAGAGATCCTTAGAAATCCAGTTAGAGAAGAAGGATCTCTCTTCCCTGAAAAAATGGCTCCGAAAAATAAAGGGAAAATGGAAAATAACTGGTCTTTACTATATATCGTGGCGCCGGTAACCGCGATTTGACTGGAGCTCAGTTAAGCTAACCCTAGGTGATTAGCGTGACAACCCGGCTGGACAACGACTTAGAAGAATCGCCAAAATACCCTTAACGAATGACTGGAATTGCCCCTATATTTGAGATTAATTACTGTATTGTCCTTGAGGCATTGTTTTATGGGTGAGTGTCGGTGCCAATTAAATTGGACATTTCAGCTTGAATTGCGGTTTTCTTTTTCTTTTTTTTTTAATTTGGTTTTGGAAGGCCTTCTCTCTTCAGCTTTTTATAATCAATCCTTTTTAATTGGAAAATAGTGGAAATAAGCTAATGTCTCATGTGCATACTCCTCCAGAGAAATTAAATGAAAAACCAATTTTAGAAAAAATTAATTGCAACGAAAGATGAAATATTACTATCATTTTTTATATATTTCTAGCTAATGTTTAGGCTTGTTACTTTTTTTGTTAGTGATATTGAGTTTGTTATTTTTTAGTTTTATTACTTGTAGTGGACAATTTTCATATCATTTGTCCATACCTTTTTCTTCTTATTTTTTTTGCCTAGTTCAGTGAGGAAGGGGTCCCCTACTTACGATTGAACTCAAAACATCGTATTGTAGTGCTCCACCATCCTTACTGTCTAGTCTTGATCCCATTCCTTATTGAGATATATTTCTATTTGTTTGAATTCAAATTCTTATTAGGACAACAATTTATGTTTTGAAAATGGTTTGATAGGACTGCAGCTCAATTAAAATAGGTAAGCCTTATCTTGTACCTAATTGAAATTTGCAATTCAAGTATTGAATAACCTTTACATTGATCATCTCGGCTTGGAATATTATGGTTGTAAAAAAAAAAAAAGGATTTCAAGCTCTAAAAATAATATATATTGTAATAAATTATCTAGATTGTCCATTATGCCCTAAAAATAAGTGTTCACATATTTACAATATTTGTACCATTTTTTGAGTTTCAAAATTTATTGTCAGTGTTAAAAACTAATTTTAGAGCCCTCATGGAGATCTCGGTTGCCGAAAATGCTTTCAAGACATGGATTTCAGGTGAGGCTTTATTTTGTTTTCATAAAGCCTAGCTCTTATAAAAACTTCATCCTTTATTTTTTAAGTTGAATGGAGCAATTGATATCATATTTCAAGTAGTTCTTTTTGTATAAATCATAATAGAAGGATAAATATTTTAAGAATTATTATTTTATAAAAATTAACTTAAAAAATGAAAAGTAAGATAAATTACATAAATAATTCAAATCCCACACCCCCATTTATTCTCGCCTGTTAATATATCTCCTATCTAGCTGCAAATGTAATGCTTTTTCATTTCACAAAGATCTACCAGAAATATTATACATAGGCACAAATAATTATTTCCCCATGTCCCTCTATGCCCTCTTTACTTCTCTATCTCAACTCTTCTCTTTAATTTTATTTTTTAATGTTAATTGAATCTCACACCTTTTAATTTCAATGCATCATTGTTTAGTATTTTAAGGACATACCAACATCAATGATACAACTCCATAAATAATTTTGCCTCTAAACTAATAGGAGAATAATCTAAGAGCATTTTAATTCTTTAAATGAAGACATTTCTTGATGGTTTGTGCCAGCATTTCCCAGCTTATTAATTCAAGAAATAAAAATAAAATATGGTGTTGCCATTTATTTTTTCATGGCCAAGCTACACTCCATGCATGCAAAGAGAGCACATGTATGTGGATAAATAAAAGTGGGTCTATATTCATGTGTAGGGTCCTTGCATCATGCAAGTTGCCCGTACAACAATCTACTTTTTGTGAAAATCATTTAGTGCTGGGAAGGAATTTATTGAATTAATTAGAGGGAAAATTAACTAACAACTATGCCAAAAGATTTCATGCTCGTTTAGGAGTATACTGTCTATTTACTCTTTCAAGTAAAACCCAACTTAGTATTTATTGGACCTCAAATTTTTGGGATGCACTAGCTTGATAAAAAAAATACAAAAATTATGAATCACACTATATATGGGCTTGGAATAAAGATGTCTCCGCATTGATTAGAGACAGTTGATTTTTTATGCAAGTATTCGAAAAGTCAAAATCCATTTTTTCTTTTGAAAATAATCTAGTGATTTTAGGTGGTTTCTATAGTTGCATATCACAAAAATCTTCCCAAGTAAGTCTTATATACGTCGCAGTAAGTGTACAATATATTCCCATTAGAGCACAGTATACACTCTCAATAATATCGAGCATTGAGAAATTATGTTTTCATTTCTAAATTTTTATTATTTTTTTGGGTAAGTACTAATTTTTTATTAGATGACAACTATTCTGTTGTTCATACTGTAGAGCATGTTGTTCCATTTTTTTAATGGGAATAATTGCAACTTTATAAGATGTTTTTATGTTATTATTTGAAAATTATTATTCTGTCCTCGAGATGCCATTTGCTTCTAAAATAGGGTCTAGATTATTGCTTTTTACATCCGTACCACAAGGACAATTACTGGAATTAAGTTCCCAATCTAGGAACCCCAGATCCAAAAATAGAAGGTTTGTTTGAATGAGAGAGAGAGAGAGATAGAGAGGCGTGTTCCTCAATAAACATTATTCATGCTACATTTTATGGGACAGATGCTGACCAATCTTTTAACACCGGAGAGCCTGTTTGGGCGTTCTGGTAAAGGGATTTGTTCAAATGTAGGAATCAGAATTTTAAAAATCGGTTGTTTTGATTGGGAATCATTGATCTAGATCAGAAAATGGTCCAGAGACCAAGTTCCTCATTGGAACCATGAATTGTCTGGTTCCTTTTGATTCACACGGCATAATTAACCCAATTTGTTGATCCGGATAAACAATTCACTGATCTAGCCCGATTTTTCATATTACCAGTTCCCAATCAACCCAAGGGTACCAATATTATCACATTTGCTTTAGAAGATTATGTGTTTTGGCTGAAAACATTGCTTTGGCTATTTGGTAGATTTGCTGATATCCATTAGTTCATCTTTAAATGTACAATCAAAATATATAAACCAAATTGTATATAGAATTATTTTTTAAACTTATAGTATAAATTATAAAAAAAAAGTTTGCATATAAACCTTTATATATATATATATATATATATATATATATATATCGGATGAGTTAGGGGGGAGCCTGTATATGAACTTAAGCTACTTGCCATCCAACTTATGTCAGAAACTAACTTGGATGTAGGTAGCTCTTGGGGTGTATGTGGGCATGCCTACATAGCAACCACATCCTAAATTATATGTATTATATAATTTCGAATGCAACATGAAGATGTTTCTTTATTTTGTATTATCAAAGGGGTACTTTTGTTACATAATGAATTTGTTGGAGGTGGTTTTGAAATTTTTAGAGTTAATTACGTATACGCTCTATATAAGTAGGAAAAATATGGTATGCTCCTATTATATGCGAATATGACAATCAAGGTTGATCAACTTGACTTTTTTTTCTTTTTAACAAAATTACCCCTCGGTCCAAGAAAAAACAAAATCATTGGTAGGGGGGGGGGGGCTAAAGGTTTGGGGCACTTCCCAGGTTGTCCGAGGTCCCCATCCTTAGACTGAAATTTCAAAAGAAATAGCAAACTGAGGATGGGGACCTCGAACAGCCCTGACAGTTCATTTTTTTTAATCCTAAGAGCGACACGAGGTCTCCATCCTCCAACCGAATTTTTAAAAGAAATAGCGGCTTGAGGATACGGACCTCAGACTTCCCTGGTAGTTAATTTTAAAAAAAAATCTAGAGAGCGGTCTGAGGTGCCCCATCTTCCGGCCAAAATGCTAAAAGAAACAGTTGTCCGAGGATGGGGACCTTGGACCGCCCTAGCAGTACATTTTTTTAAAGAAAGAAAAACGGTTTAAGGATTTAAACCTTGGACCGCTTGGGAAGTGCCTCAAACCTTCAGACGCAGCCTTACCAATGGAAAATAAAAAATAAAAAAATTAAAATGTGCTTACCGACCTTGGTTGTAATTCCGGAGTATAAGAGGAACAAATTGTATTTTCGTAACTAATTTAAGGTCCTTATGTAATTAACTCAAACTCTTACCAAAAGTATTCAATTCAATGTGGGGAGTGGTTCACTTATATTCACGAAAATTTTACACTCATGTCCCATTGAATTACAGTTATTATAAAAAATCCCTTCCAATATTTGTCTTTACATTATTTTTATTTTTTTTATTTTTTTTAAATATCCGGACTTTGGATTTTTACAATAAGCACCATGGCTTTAGATTAAAATCTAGAATTTTGTGACTTTGGACTTTTAAGGTCGGAATCTCGTAACTTTCAACCTTTAATGCTTAAAGTGAATAGAATTTGGACTTTCAAGTTATGAAGTGAATAAATTTTAAACCTTGAATGTTCAAATTGCTCTTTGGTCCTAGAGAGCATTAAGGATATTCAAGGTCTAAACAAAGGGTATTTATTGAAAAATAAAATAAGTAAAAAATAGGTATAAATTTAAAATACAAAATATAATTGGAATTATGTAACATCGCAGCCTTAGGACACATGAATGTAAGTTTCTCTAGTTTCAACCTTCCCCCGGCAAGTAAGCGGCTTAAAGGCATTTGAGTCAAAGCAAAGTTGAACTATACGTGCCATTAATGTTTGTCTATTTTTATGGAAATAACAATCTATTCACCAAATATTAAGAGCGTAAAAGGGTTGGGTCGGGTTAGGTAAGGTTTAAGTCGGCGCATACCTGATCGGGCCCTAGTTTGACCTTGTCTCGACATAGATCCTAGTCAGTTCTAAGTCATTTGATTTGGCCCAACCCGCCAGGTTGGTCCAGGTCTCAATAAATATGCATATAAATTTTATAATAGATTTTATAACATAGAACTCTTGTTGTCAGTGTATTATGTTCATAAATACTAGGTCGTCTCGACCCATACCCAATCCAACCCCAATATGGTATTGAATGAACCCAGGCCAGTCCA